AAATACATAAATAAAATATTTTTAAAAAATAAAAACAAAAAATAAAATTAAAAAACCAAGAAAGTCTCACTGAATTCAAAATAAGGAAGAACATCCTGACCATGAGAGGCAGATATGCACAGAACAAGTACTTCTGAAGCAGTGAGGGACCCCTCATTATTGACGGTATCCCAGCAGATATAAGAGCTAAAACTACAAAAGTCTTAGAAGAAAACATAAGGGTAAATTTTCACGACCTGGGATTTGACAGCAGATTCTCACATATGAAAACAAAAGCACACACTTCACAAGAACACCTAGACAGCATTTCATCAAAACTTAAAACTTATGTGCTTCAAACGATACTATCAAGAGGGTGAAGATGCAATCTACAAAGAGGAGAAAATGTTTGCAAATTCAGACAGCTGATAAAGGACTGGAATCTAGATTATATAAAGCATTCCTACAACTCAATAATAAAAAGATAACCCAGTTAAAATATATACAAAAGATCTGAATAGACAGTTCCCCAAAGATGATACACAAAGGTCCAATGAGCACATGAAAAGATACTTAACAGCATTAGTCTTCAGGGAAATACAACTCAAAACCGTAATGAGCTACCACATCACACCTATTAGGATGCCTCTCACCCAGAAGATGAACAGTAACGAGTGTTGGTGAAGATGCAAACAAACTGGAACACGCATTCACTGCTGATGGGGATGCAACACGTTGCAGCCACCTCGGAAAACAGCCTGGCAGCTCCTCAAATGGCTGAACAGAAGAGTTACCATACAGCCCAGCAATTCTGCTTCTTAATTACCACCCAAGAGAAATGAAAACTGTTCACGGAACAACTGGTAGACTAATATTTATGGCAGCATTACTCACAGTAGCCAAAAGGTAGAAACAATCCCAAATGTCCATCAACTGATGGCCAGATAAATAAAATATGGTGTATTCACACAACGGGGTGTTATCTGGCCACAAAAAGGAAATGAAGTAGTGACACATGCTACAACATGGACGAACCTTGAAAACATTACACTAAGTGAAAGAAGCAAATCACAGAAGACCACATATTACAGAATTCCACTTATATGAAATGTCCAGAATAGCAAATCCAGAGAGACAGAAAGTAGATTAGAAGTTATGGCTAAGGGAGATGAGAAGGTTGAGAGGTAACAAAAGGGTGATAAAAACATGAATGATGCAAATGTTCTAAACCTAACTGGTGGTAGCACGTATCTGTGGATATAGTAAAAACCATTCAATTATAAACTTTAAATGGGTTCACTGTATGGTGTATGAATTATACTCAATAAAGCTGTTATTTTTTTTTTTTAATTTAGTTAGAGAGAGAGAGAGTGCACAAGCAGGGGGAGTGGTAGGCAGAGGGAGAAGCAGACTCCTGCTGAGCAAGGAACCCGACGCGGGACTCAATCCCAGGACTCTGGGATTGTGACCTGAGCCGAAGGCAGGTGCCTGACTGAGCCACCCAGGCGTCCCCTGTTATGTTTTTTTAAATCAAATTGCCCTGTCACATGATGAGCAACCTGAGAGCACTGGAGAAATAAGCTTTCCATCTCTACTACACAGAGCATAGGCACACCTTTCTGGTAAATATTTGATCATCTATAGGTATAAGCACTACTGGAAAAAATATCTTTTTGTTGGTATCAAATAACTTCTGTGTGGTTGAAATAACATACTGTGTTAAAAGCAAAAAAAAAAATTTTTTTTTTTTTTT